ACGCTGAAAAACCATTAAAATGGTTTTTAAATCTCTTAATGGCCTTGCTCCTGAGTACCTAAGCTCGAAATTTATTGCTCGATCCAAAACCACCTCATACACTTTTCGAGATTCTGTAAATAAATTAACTATTCCACAGCCACGCACTAATTATCTCCGTAATAGTTGTCGCTACAGTGGTGCTGTTCTGTGGAATAGTCTTCCTGAAACTTTAAGGCAAGCAGAATCGCTAAATAATTTTAAGTCACTTTTGCACAGCTATTATAATTCAAGTAAGGCACGGCATTCATGGAAAACAGGCTTTTTTTTTCGTATATACTTGATTGAACAATTTTACAAAACCCAGTAAATGTATTTGAGGTTTTTTAAATTTTTATATTTCATGTCTGATGAATCTGTACAACCGTGGATACATAAAGATTACTTACTTACTAAGGAAGCGCTGATCAAGAATCATACCTAAGGAATGAAAACTTCTCGCAACTTCCAGTGAAAGCATGCATAGAGTGACAACAGTGGTAAGCGGCAAGCGGTCGTTCTGTGAAATGTAACGCAATTTTTGCCGCGTTTGGGATCTTTCGCTTGGATTTAAACGCTTTTGTTGATCTGTTCTCCCGTGTGGATACTTCACATTTCCAATATATGGGAACACCATGCTAAGGTACGGACAACAAACACTCACAACTTCGTTCTGTACGCTAAAATCTGATTTCCTGGACGTAAAAAGTATTGAATTTTAAGACTTTTTGATGTTCCGTCTTTAAATGGTACTCAGCAATGTGATTGTTGACGTCACCATTCCTCGTCGCGCGTTTGTCAGTCGCGTGCTTAGGTTTCTGCCTGTTTCACCAATGTAGAAAGCCTGGCAGTCGCAGCATCTTGTATACTGCTCCCTGTCTGTCCTCCGGTTTGTCTTTGTCCTTGACATTAGTAAGCAGTCGCCGTAAAGTGGTTATCGGTTTGTGTGCAACACGTATATTGTAAGGTTGTAATATACGTGCAATAGTTTCAGAGGTGCCTCTGATGTACAGTACATTGCTGAGCACCATTTAAAGACGAAACATCAAATTGACTGGGACTCTGCGACATGTATAACGTATTCTCAGACTACTATCAACGTCTTACTTTAGAAAGCCGGTTTACTAACTTAGAACAAACGCCACTGAATCGTAGCCAACAGCTACCTGCGCCGTACAAACGACTTACTGACGAGATCAAGCAAAACTAACTACGAGAGAACGACTGGAGAACTGACAATTTGACTAACAATAGACAACTCTTTAACTGTGACAATGGAGGAAACGCACCAATTACTGATTACGAGTCTTCATAGCCAATAACATCACGGCTTAACCGACAGACGACCAATAACATAGTGACGTAATTGACCAATCAGATTAATAACCAGAGTATAATACCATCAACTGACGTGATACAACTCACTTTGACTGTGTAGATGACTATCGCACAGGTTGTCGAAACGTCAGTCACTGTCAAAAACAACAGGACTACGTTCACCCGGACGATCAAACTCAACCTACTTTTGAAATGACTCCTGGGTTCAAACCTTTCACAGTTAAATATTAATAAACCTGTATTTTTTGTATCTTCAAAGCAAAATAACGGCCTTAGGATCATCTCGGGATAAAATGAAGTTATTCTTTGGAAAAATTTTAACATTTGATAGATCATACTATTTATAAAGTATTTCATTTCTAACATTATTTTAAGCGTAGAAATGTCAATAGTCAATTTAAAAATAATCTTTGTGAAAAAGCAAAAGCAGACAAGCGGACGCCCAATTCAAGGCAGGGGGGACATTCATTTACTGACAGAAATGGCCGTTTTCACACTAGAGACGGATTATCCGTGTGAGATGGGTTATCCCTTTGATAATTCGCGTCAGATAGGTAATACGTCTTAAATTGAAATGGAAAGGGTTTTAATTTTGAATGAACAATCCGCCTGACTTTATCCGTTAATTTTGACGGACAGTTTGATGATGGATTATTCGTTTCAGATAGCCTGTGTACAGCCGTCCCCTCCCCTCAGAAAAATCGGAGAAGGGATGTCTGTGGGGGAGGGGGCGACTGTGCACAGGCCAGTCTCAGACGGATAATTCATTTCTTGTTCTAGTTTGGAAACGGCCAATAACAAAATTCCGGTGTTCAGAGTTTTTAATGATAGCGAAGGACAGTACAGAAAGACTGTCTGCCGTTGCCTTGTCGATAGGCTTCATTATTCTGCGCGGCTAATGCGTTTCGGGTCACGTGGTCCGAGCGAGTTTTTTCTCAGATACGCCACCGAAATGCCTTCACCGAGATTGCGTGGGAAGTACGCCGAACAGGGTTGAAATTTTTCAATTTTTACGGCTATCGACTAAATTTTTGGCTGTTTTACGCCTATCGGTTAACCCCATTAAGACCCCCTTTGAAATTTGCCATTTTTTCATCGAACGGAAACGTTCAAAATATTGAAGATAATGAAAAATCTCCAAAACATTATATTTTCCTTCAAACTGAGTAAATGACCTTATAAAATGTATATAATTATGTACTTTTCTGAATATGTTATTTGTTGTTCGCATTACAATTGATTTGATTTTTGAAACGATTTTTTCGTGCCACGCCGTCTTGACTCTTGGGCCTGTAAAAGCCGGTCCGAGAGACACGAAACCAATAACCCCCCCGTACGTCTAAAATAATTATCGGATCGAAGTAAAAATTACGTTTATGTTAACAGCTTACCTAGTGCTACTTTGTGAATTTTTTTGAGAATTTTCGATTTTTCACTTTTGTAGACCTACGGTTGATACAATACAATACAATAGTTTATTGACACTCCCCTGGTGGGGCTTTTCAGTGACAATGCGACTAAAAAAAAAAAAAAAACTTATTAAGATAAGAGAAGTAGTTAACAATTCGATTAAAAGGAAAGAATGCGGTGAACAAAGCAAAATAAACATACCTATTTAAGAATTAATCGTATAATAAATATTCTCACTACGTACTATACAATATGCATATTTTAAGTTCAAATAAAATAAGATACTAGAAAGATACTAAGATACTATCATAACGTGTTATTTAAAAAGTCAGTAATCAACTTATTTTTCAGACAAAATTTAAAAGTAGAAATCGATTTTGCAGTTTTAAGAGTACTGTCTAGATTGTTCCAAATGTGCAGCATGCGGTAGTGGAAGGTTCTCTGTCCGGTACTCGACTTATACAAGGGGATGTTTAATAATTGGCAACTTCGAGTCACGCGCCCGGTGACCGCAATTCTTGTTCTTGTAAATTGATCGCTGAGGTAATGTGGAGCTTGACCAGTCATGCATTTAAATGCCATGAGAGCTTCGCGGAAGAACAGCTTTTGTTTAATTGGAAACCAACGTAGATCTCTTAGTGCGGGGGTTTTATGGTCAAATTTCCTGGTACCTGTAATAATGCGCGTGGCAAAGTTCTGCACTGACTGTAGTCTACAGATATTTTTGTTCGAGGTGTTCGACCACACTGTGGAACAGTACAGTACTTTGCTAAAGACTAGGGCATTTATTACTGTCACCAGTTGGTTACGGTCAAGAACATGTTTAACCCGACTGATTTGTGCGAGGCTTGACATACAAGATGACGTAGTTTTTAGAACATGGTCATCAAACGTTAGTTGCGGATCTAAAACAACCCCGAGATCTTTGGCCGAAGATGTAGGAGCGAGATCTTTTCCTAGAAGAGATATTTTGAAGTCGGGGAGTTTGGCAAGTAGTTGTCGGCTTCCAAAGACTACGAGTTTTGTTTTGTCAGGATTTAAAAGTAGAAAATTGTTAAAAACACCAATTACGTATTAAAAGAAGGTCGCTATTTAGATCGTTCATAGCAGTCGGACAATCACACATCTTAAAAGAAATCTGAAGTTTAGTGTCATCTACGTAACATTGCGTTAAACAGTTTCTAGGAACAGAAGGTAAGTCGTTAATGTAAATACTAAAAAGAAGCGGCCCAAGAATGCTTCCTTGAGGAACACCACTATTTAAACGCAACGAATTCGAGAGCGTCGAGTTAATAAGCACGACTTGGTGTCTGTAGGTCAGGTAGCTAGTAAACCACGCGAGAGCGTATTTAGAAATACCGAGATGTTGTAGTTTTAAAAGGAGAATATCATGATTTATACTGTCAAATGCCTTACTCATGTTCAAGAAAACCATAGCAGAGGGTTCCTGCTTATCCATGCCAGTCAAAATGGCATCTGTGGAGCGGATAAGTGCCGTTTCTGTGGAATAAAATTTCTTATTTCCACTTTGTTTCGCAGAAAGACGGTTGTTTGTTGTTAAATATGCCGTCAGCTGGTTCAACGCAATTCTTTCACACACCTTTGACAATACTGGTAATAACGTTGATATTTACTGACATCTGCTCTTAATGACTTATCTCCATCTTTAAATAATGCAGTGACTTTTGCACACTTCCAGACCCCTGGAAATACTCCATCAGTGAAAGATGATCAAACCAGTTAGAATTGGGGCGATGACGTCACAGGCATCCTTCAACAAGCGAGCACTTAGCTTATCAAGTCCAACAGCTTTGTTAGATTTTAAGGATTTAAGGGCATTATATAAGGAGGTACCCCCCGCCCCCACCCCTGAGGTTTGGTTTGTCCCTGATTTCTCGTAAAAGCAGATCTCTGGTTACCACATTAACTTCAATTTAATCTGTTATATAAACTAGCTTAATTTAGGTATTAAGTTTTTCGAGTGTCATCAAAGGTAAAGAGAAGATCGATGATATAAAAAACACTAACGCTGACAATTCTTGAAAACTCCCTGAAGTGTCGCTCATTGCGGACACCTTCATTTAACGATTATCCCCCTATAATAAGGACAGCTCTTAAAAGCAGGCACTTAGCTTTATCATTTTGGTCAGGAGCCGATTACCCTACTTTGGTGTCCTTACTAAAGAGGCTTGAGTCTGAAAGAGAAATAGTTTCACGTCCACTTTTACTTCAAGTCACTCAATGGATTTGGGTCGCAGCATCATCTGTGAAGTTTTCAGTGCCTGGAGGTTGTTTTTCCAGTAGTACCAGACCATTCCTTTTGAGTCCCGCTTACCAACGCTCATGTATTGTCCGTTTAAATTAGAGTCATGACAGCTGTTATACCACCATGCACCCACGCTCTTAATTGCACAATTTTCCCCTCTGTTGCTATCATTGTCTTTGTCCATAGTTGTAAATGACGAGGCGCTGTGATATGACAATGAATCTCCAGCAGTTCCGGTATAAGAACCTACAGTAAGTTTGTATTTTACGGACTCGTTTTCGACACGGAAATTTCCATATTTGGCGAAGGCCGTTGTTTCGTCCCAGTCGGTCAAATCCACACGAAGAGCTACATCCATGGCTTGCGTTAACCGACTAATTTTGTCGTTACCGAGCCAGAACTCTTTGTTGAGATCTCCAAAGCCGTGTTTATAGGCGTCCCAGTCACGGAAAAAATTAGTACTGCCGTCCAGTCTCCTCTGAAATACCGTCCATCCACCACCGTCAGTAAGCATGTCACAGAGGACTGGGAACGAAGAATTTCCATCTGGATTTATCATGTACAAACCGCTAGTGCGTACGCCAGATGAATACAAAGTGAAACAATCACGTGCTAAAAGAAAATGAGTAAAAGGAAAAAAATATTACATGCTACAACTTTTACTATGACGATTTCACCATTTACTTTCCTGTAGGTGGTCTTGACATAAAAACGAATTGTTTGAGTATTTAGTTATTATTTAACTCAAATTTAAAGTTTTAACAAAATATTTTTAAATTTACCTGTCTTGACAAGGAGATTAAACTCTGCTCGCGCCCGGAAAAGTGCACTAGTTGCTACACATGCGTATTTGCCCTGATCGTCTGGCTGTAAGGCCCTAATGGTCACGCTGTGTTCTGTAATGTTCAATCTCTCACTTGGAAGGTTCCCTGTGCAAATAGGTTCCCATGTAATAACGGGATCTGGATCACCAGTGGCAGAACAGTTAACAGTAACCTTTGTGTAAAAAAGTAAAAAGGTAAAAAGTGTTTTTTCTAAAACAATCTGCGGGGAGGGGGCAGGGGTGTATTTGAAGAGGGGAGCTTAATTCAGGTTTTCCCTCGATAACTTTTTAACTTTTATTTTAGCTAAAACGTCGTGTGAAAAAAAATCCCCAGCATGTAGAGATAACGAGTGGAGGCGTGGCAGCCTAGCGGTTAACATATCGAACTTCGGAACGGGAGCCTGATAACAAATAGATTCCTTTAAGCCGTTCATCTGTTCATTTATAGATCTGGCCCCAGTTGTTCAAAAGGAGGATAACGCTATCCACGGGCTAAATCTCTATCCACTGGATAATGCAATGCATGGGTTTCCCTAATACTTATCTATCAGATAGTGATTTATTCAGTGGATAGCTGTCTATCCAACGTTTGAACAACCGGGCCAGGATGACTCCATGCACAGAACGAGAAGCAGATCTTATCAAATTTTTCACCCCAAAAGGAATAAAAAATGGTCAGAAATAAGCCATTTTTGCATTTTAACACGGTGTTTGTGGCCTTTCAAGGATGTTATTTTTTTCTGATTTTAGCATTTTCGACGTTGACATTTTCGCCTTGTTTTCTTATCTGTTTGTGATAAACTATTGTTTGTTCAAATTTAAAAGCTGTTAGACAATGACCAATCAATAGTTTGCCTAACAGCCGGCACATACTGATATTAGCTATGGATATTCAGCTATGCAAAACATGTTCTCACCGAGGTTCCGGCAAACTTCTCAATCACGGCCATCGGTGTTACAGTGAACCTGGGCACTATGGTTACAACTAGCTGAGTAACCGCCCGCGATGATCCTCCTGGACTAGTTGCTTTGCAGATGTAGCTTCCAGCATCCTCTCTCTCTGCACGTAAAATCGTCACACTCCGTCCTTTAAGCAGAGTTCGCCCTCGCGGTAACTTTCCAAGCACTTTGGCCCATGTGACAACCGGTGGAGGATAGCCTATCACGTGACAGCTCGGCAGGACTGCATCTTCACCTCTGATAACGAACGTGGGACCGGAATCAATGTAAACACGAGGAGAAGCTAAAATAATATAAAAACAACGCTCCTCAGTTTTTCCTCAAAACAACAGTTTGCTCTACATCGAAGGCAGTGCGAACAACTACTGACGCTGTTTATAAGAGGAAACACAAATTTTCAATTCTATTATCCCAGAAGATATTTGATACTGTTCAAGAATAGTAGAAAAATGTTGTCACAAGTATTGATAGTTATAATTATGTGAGGTGATTTAACGTCCTAAATTTGAGAAACGTATTCTATATTCCGTAAGTACAAATGGAAAAATAAAAACACTAGTAATCTGAAACCATTTGCTCAGAAGTTGGAAGGCATTATCCACGTCATATCATCAAGAGAAATGTTGAGGAAACCTACTACGTTATACATTAGATAAAGATTTATTCAGTGGATAACACTATCCACCTTTTGAACAACTAGATGAATGAATGAATTTTTCAGTCCATATTTACCTTGAACCCTAAGCATAACAGTTGCCTGAGCTATGCCAGATGGACTGTTTACAGTGCACATGTACAAACCACTGTCCATGAATGTCACTCGCTTAATCTTCAGCACCCCTGTCTCTCCAAGAATCGTTCTGTCTTTGGGAAGTAGTTTTCCAAGCCTTCTCCACTTAACCACGGCTGTGTTGTACCCACGGCTATAACACGTGAATCTTGCCGTCTTGTTCTCTGAAACTGTTTGCACAGCGGGTGTCACAAAAATCCCAGGGACACTAATCTCTTGACCCATTCTCTCTGCGCCACGTTGTTCAAGAGGCTCCTCACTCATCATTGAATGTCCACATCCCTTACATTGATCTCCCTTCTCGCCTTTGACTCCCCTGGAACCCTGTGGCCCCTGATGACCAGGAAGCCCAGGGTCTCCTTTAAGTCCTTTGGGTCCGACATCTCCCTTGATACCCTGTGCTCCAATTGTGCCAGGTTCTCCCTTCAGACACATTTTTGAATTGCCGTCCGAAACACAGAAAGCCTTGATAGCGTATGTTATGGTGTTCGCTATTTCTTTTTGAGTTTCGGGAGAGATGGCATTTCGGCTTGATAAAGAACGACCCCTACGGCCTTCCGTCAATTTCTTGACGCTCGTGGCTACAAAAGAAAAACGAACGAAATATATCGGAAATTAGTGTTCTTCTTCGTTTCTATAGTTTTATTCGTAGGGCATTAAATCGGATGTTACTGAGCACAAAGGGGGTGCTTTGTGCCAATTTTATTTGTCGCTGACTATTTTACCACCCTCTTGAATTAAAATCTTCATAAATAATTTAGCGCGATTTAACTCGGCTATTGCACTGATGAAGAAACTGATGACACAGACAGGGAGAAGCCTTCGCTTAATTCCGCTAGTTAGTCCATGCTTGGTGCTTCACTCGCAAATCGTTGTTTTTTCCCACCTGATTGAAAAGAGGAGCCACTTCTTTCGCCACTGTTAAACAACAAGATCACGTTGCGATCTTTCCTTCAATTGGATTTTCTGTTGTTTCTATGTGTAATCAAACTGTACTATGAGCTACATGAAAAGAATAGCTAAAATGGAACCAAGCAAAAATTTTACGACATACAAAACGAATTAAAGATATTTTAAAAGAAAGCCAGGTAATCAACTGTCACAATGCACATTGTCTTTCCCTTTCAGGCCTTACACATTTTCAGTAGCCTCGTACCTCTTTTTGAAGCCTCTGATTTTATTGGACCCTTACATGTCGTACTGGCTTTTTTAGGGCCACGTTCCATTGTCAATATTGTTCGTTTACTGCTTGCATTCACAATAGATCTCGTGTGGCCTTGTTACAGCTGCAAGGGGTTTCCTTAACTTGTCCGTTGTAGCCTCTTCCCCAGGCCTCTCTGCCCTTTTGAGTGGGAGAATAGGGAGAGAACCATCTCCTTTTCTCGTTCTGGGAATGTGGGCTCCCATTCAGGGGTCAAGAACAGGACAGCTTTAAAAAAATACCATTGCTATAACTTCCTCTTACCTTTTTGTTGCGAACGGGCAAAACCTTAATAAGATTTTCGCTAGGACTGGCAAAAAGAGAAAGGACGGCTTTGTCCCACTCTCGCGTGACGTGCGCTTCAGGTCAGTACGAGGAACCAGTTATTAAAACTCGAAATGCGTGAAACATGGCATTTTCATTAACGGGAAATTCAACCTGCCTTTTTGCTCGTTACCGAGAAATTTAAAATCTCTCATGTGGCGACGTAATCTAGTACTGATTTAAAATAATAGGTGGAAATTAAGGACATTTAAATGTTATTTTTGAACTATCTACTAAAATGCCAAGGCAAAACCACAAGGGATAAAAGTTGCTTTAAAAAAATGCGGCCAATACGTCTTCTTTCCCTTTTGTAGACTGTTCTGGAAGAAGAGCGCATCACATCTTGCCATTATTTCGCGTCACATGATACATGCCTTTACGTAACAATGTTCTAATTTTGAAGATATTTCACCGTTTTTAATATGGAGCTTCAGCAACCTCGAACGCACAACGGCAGTGAAAACGTCACTTGAAAAGCGTATTCGAGCTGTTTCAAACTTCATTACCCTTGCTGCATTCCATTCAAGTTTTCTAACATTGGGGAAATTTTCGGTGGAGTCGATTCTTAAGGACTGGTCCAAGTAGAGAAAAAGGAAGGCAGTTTCACGTCCAAGTCATGCAAAAACGGCAAAGAAATGTACAAAAAAGCCTGATGCACGTGCAAAGTTGTTGCTTCGCTAATCAATCCCGCGATTTTTTCTTGTCTGTCGCCGTCGTGGTTGCTTTATATAAGTTCCCAAATATACTCGAGTGTCCACGTGAAGTGCATGGTCGAACGCAATTTTTCTTCGGTCAAAGTCAGTTCTCTATCAGACTGACGTGTACACAGCGGTTTTGGTAAATAAAAGCTGCATTTAAAGGAACAGTATCCCGTTACTGCGCATGCACCAAACTTTGATTTTTGGACAGGATGTCGCGAAATCAAAAGATGCGAGGAGAGTAAGAGAACCGTGAAAAATCCGTTTGCATCGCGCTTGACCGGGCTCAATACGACACTAAAACTTCTCAGGATTACAGATCAATGATATATTGTTCCTGTTAAGTTTCGATTTGGGCAAAATCTGGATTTTTGGCGTTACTTTTATTGCCGTTGGCCGGAGGACCAAAAGATTGGAAGCACTTTGATGCCGATTGAAGGCTTATTTCTTCTGCTAGCTTCCATACAAGCTCAGATAATTGTGAAAGGAATACGCAGAAATGAAACAATAAAGACTGTAAGAACGAAACCATTGAGACATTGATGTGACTGAGGAGATCTTGTGGAGGGGAGCTTCGTGAAGCAGAATGTTTTGCAACGACGCGTTAGTAAACTTTTTTAAATGAATCTCCCTAACGGCCGACAAAATCAAACAAACAGGCGCTACATGTTTAGAAAAACTAGTGCCATGAAATCATAATACAATTTTTGACTAACCTTTCTCATGATTCATAGCGTTGAGATCGCATTTTTATTTATGTCTTTCAAACGTTTGAGGCTAGAACGCGAGCAAATCAGGCAGATATTACTAGACTTGTAACAACTGACCTCTGACACGAGTTTCAAATTAGAAAATATGTTTTTAAAGCGAGCGGAACGAGATTTTCGGGTCGCGAGGCGGCCCAGCTAACGATAAAATCGCTAAAGTCTTCGAACCGCGAGCCAAATTTTTATATAAGACGAAAGACTTCTTTGAAAGTCTAAAACATTACTTGAGAATATAAACAACATATCTCTGTCGGCGGTGCGGTCCGGAAGGAAATCTTGTCAAGTCAATATGACAGTTCTATTGTCTTTTGAAGAAAAAACAGATGACGCTCGCGCGTGCGCATAATCGGGACACTGTCCCTTTAAGTAATCGTTAGACGTTTTTGAAAACTTCCCTCCTGGTAATAGCGGGGCTCCCGCGCGCGCGAAGCGCGCGTGGGACAGAGCCCCATACCCATGGAATATGGTCAACCTCTTTTCGTTTGGTTGTCACGTGATTGACCGAGCGTACGTACGTACGCGTCTACAGATTGTACGGGTGGGGTAGGGGAGACTATGAAAAGGAAGGGAGGGGTGTCTCAGGCGTGTCTTGGCAAGTCCACATCTTTAATATAGGATTTTAGTATAGGACATTCACAATATGGTCAATTGACAGCTGTCAAAACAGGATAGCCACTGACCAGTATCCCATGACCATATCACGGGCTCATATGTCAACTCATCGAGGTGACATGATTTATTTGGAAGCTGTCCGCTGACCAGTTAATTGTTTTACTAGATCGCGAACAATGTTCAATCTCATACTTTTACTAGTTAAACTGATAATGCACACATATTGGACATCAATCTTTTGATCAATTGACAGCTGTCAAAACGGGGTACCCGCTGACCAGTGTCACTTGACCGTATCGCGGGCTCAGGTGTCGACCCATCGAGGTCAAGTATTTTTTTGAAGTTATCCGCTGACAAGTTACTAGTTCTCAATTGATCGCAGGCTCAAGATCAATTTTTTTTCTAAATTCATATGAAATATGTTGTGTTTATGTGCTACACAATTAAAATTTTGATTGCAAACTGACCTTGGACGCGAAAATTCAGCCAGCTGTTACAGGCAGGGAAGACAGTTGCTTATGACTTTTCTCACCATGGTCACGCGTTGGTCACGTTCTACGTCCAATTTTTATGCTCTGATTGGTCAAAATTTGACAGGTGAGTTCATGCGGAAAATTTATGCAGCATCTTGAATCTTGTTTACTTTGACAGCTGAAGCTGACAGAGTTTTGTATCAACTTGTGATGTTTTTAACTGTCTTTTTCCACTGGATGTGCAAAATGAAATTCAGCTGCTATCAGGAGTCTTTTGTTATTCATGGCTAGTTTGTTTATTGGGTTTTTGGTTGAGGAATACGTCGCTTGTCAAAGTCGGAAATCCGATTTCGGATGGCATCGTTTTGGTTTTCACCTTGCTTGATGCGTAAGAGGATTGCAAAGTCTGAAGCGATACTGGCTTTTCTTGATACCTTTCAGGAGCTGCACCTCGAATGGTAAGCCAGAGAAATTATTGTATTTGATGTTTGTTTTTTTGTATCTAATTTAATGAATTCAGGCAGAGTTTATGCGGGCATTTAGTTTATGCACGTTTGTAAGATTTGTGACAATGATCTGACCGAGTATCAGGTTTGATATAAGCTTACAGAACTTTAAAAAGCCTTTAGACAGTTTCTCACCGCAAATAGAAAGAAAACGTTCCAAAGAATATTTAGTTATAATTCTGGCCGGAAAAGAAAGCTTTGAGCGATTTTCTTGCCTCGAGTTCGTCTTTGAAAAAAGCAACGACCGGGAAGCCGGCTTAAAACATAAACTTAAGCTTGAAGCTTGAAGACTCAGAGTTTTTATGGACACTTTAATACTTGTATTCATGAATGAAAATTGTTGCCTCTGTATATGTTTCACCGAATTATATTTCTTTTATTGATTGTTAGTAGTCTCTCTTGTAATTTTATTCGCTGTGCCGATTGCTTTCAGTCGTTCAGTGAACATCGTTTGCAGGAGTACTCAAAATGCCGCGCGTTAAACCATTAAATAAAAAATAAACATAATAAATTCTTTATAATGTTGGAGCGTAACTCTGTTAATGTTCATTCAAACACTCGCCACAGCTCGCACTGCAAAAGTGAGAACCGGATGGCCGTATAGGTGATTTTGGAAATTTTTTAACAGTTTATGAATGCCGGTATGATAAAAACAGTTGGTTTACACGCACCCAGATTTGTTGACAAGATTTTGCAAAGTAAACTTGTCGAACGCAAAAAAAAGTTGGCCTGATTTTTTTTTCCACTAATTAATCTACGGTGATCAAGAGCCATTATGGCTCTTAAATGTGATCGAAGATGAATTACCAGTTTTTGAGTGTACATATGAGGCTATCAACTCGATGTAAGATTTGGTTCACTCTTGGGCTGTTTGCAAATTATTTTTCTCTAAAATCTGGTAGCCTTTCCCTCAAAAGTAACATAAATGTGCTCTAAAGTTAACTGAATTGTGGAATTCGAATACAAGTTTATTGTTTAATTTAAATTATAAATTTATTAATGGGAGCCTCGCTTTTAGCCCTGGCTAAATCTATATATTAAAGTTATAGTTACTACTTTCCACAGTCAGCTACGTCACTATCGAGTGTACTGAAAAGGTTGTAAAATGACAACTTTTCCGCCTCACCTTTCGCGCAACAGCTCTCCTTGTCTTTCTGGAACACTTTCAATCTTTCCTCAAACTGCACTAATTTCAGCTCTAGTCTGACAAATAACGAGCTAAAAATGAGTGTGAAAAGTACACACAGGATGGTGGGAATATAAATGTGGGACTCACTCTTAGGAGTCGACATTGTAGCAGTAACATTTGCCAAGTTTACAGCTCAAAACAGAACATCGGGGAATATTTATATCTCCGTGATTAACGTAAAAAGAAATGCGATAGGAGTGTTGAGAATCATTATTCAATGCTTAGGGCAAATCAGCAGGGAGGCTTACAGATGAATGGAACATTTGATGCTGGAATTAAGGAAAAACACATGACGAGCTCGATTAACTTGTCATCTCCGTTATAATGCGTAGGGTTTAATCCGTGTTTTCGTTCTTCAATCATCTTTCACAACATCTCTTAAAAAATTAATTGCTCCCAGATTATCAATGACATTAAATAAAAACAATTTTTAAAGGAGACGCAAAAAGTAAGAACCAGTCGGTGCCAGCTAGGACATATACACAAGGATAGAAACCCAACTAATTTTAAGATAGTTCATCACTGCCATCAGTTAATGAAGACGCGTAAGATCCTTTTGGAAGAGCAGTGGTTAGAACGTTCGAGACAATTTCCCCAAATTTCTCTTTTTGCATTGATAAAAATTTGTCCTTTGAAATTCAAAATTGTTTCTAAAATGAGATAACTGATGAAAAAAAATTGAATATTGCAATAAATAGCATAAAGTCTGTAACATTTGTATAGCTCTTGTCTCAAGGGTAAAGCACTGTCTAGCAGCTTGTGAAGTTATTTCAAGGCCCCTTGGGTCTTGGAGGTCAAGAAAAGGCAGATATTCTATCATTTTAGGGGCGAAATTTCCTCGCATCCCTCTTATCTCATCCGCAAGTTAGAAACACGTAAAAATTACGACAACGCAATAAAGGTAAAATTCTTTTTTATCTAATACAAATGTATTGGATTGTCATCAGTGTTGTTGAGATTTGAGTCAACAACATAATTCCGTGTGTCAGCTCTTTGACATCAATACTGGAAAGCAGAAAATAATCCTCCGCCATGTTGTCTTGGCTTTGTTTCAACAGCAGATGCCAAGATCATTATTTTTCCACGGGTGCACGCTGCCGATGTGCATGCAGCGTTATCAGCTGTCACGCGTGTTCTTGGTAACTTAAACCCAGTGTTAGATTTTACTTCAAGTCTTTCCATCATTCAGTATGGGTCCGCGGTACAGCTTCAACATAGAAGAACAATTGGCGACTGCGCGAAAATCCAAATGAGGTGATGCATTGTATCTCCACTCAATCTTGCCGGCCGACCAACTGATTTTGTTACTTTCTTGTTCCAAGTTATCATGTTTCTGTTACTTCGCTTCCTCTTGTTTTCAGCAAGTTCGTCAGAAAGAACTCCCCTGTGTTGGATCAGACATATGCACTATATTAAGCTATGTTTTTCTATATTACGGCTCTTCACATTAAGGCTAGAATGATCGCCACCTTCATCGTCGTTGTCGTCATCACACCAACACCAGCCTCGTCTGTCCCCAGGCTAACCCCTGGGGACGAGATTGCATCTCCACAAACACCACCACCACCACCACCACTACCATCATCATCATCATCATCATCGTCGCCGTCGTCGTCATCTTCATCATCGCAATCGTCATCATCATCATTATGGTCATCGTATCGTCATCGTATAGGTGTAAGGAAAAACACCATTCGAATGCAGCTGCCCCCTACTGTCCAGTTAATCTGCCCAATTACATGTAATCCTGCAATAAGGGCTTCCAATTGCCAATCAGATCAAACAATTTTGAGTGTAGATTATAGTTACGATTAAGAAAATTAGTATTCTACAACACGAAGTGGTGATTAAATATTTAAACTTCTAAAGAAACTTGCAATCGAGCTGTAAGTTTGCTTCTTTAATTTGCACCTGCAGTTTCTTTATTTCTCGCGTCCGTCCCTTATGAAGGGTTATGACGGTTTGGGGGTTAGTTTTGTACTCACCAGCCTTGTAGGATGACCGTACAAGTGGCCCGCTGGCGGTGTATGCAAAGCCTAGCTCATTTCCTACTGTTTCCCAATGCTTAAACTTCTCAGGGGTGATATACTCTGTAACCTGCAAGGAAAATGATGTGGGTGAAAATGAGTGCATTCAATAGGCACCAAAGGTCAGCCAGATAAGAAACTTGTTATCAACCAAAGTTATTAATTTGAGCCTGCCAGCAAACTCTCGCAAGAAAGGCGGGGATGGGGTGGGGAGAAAACGCTCTTTTCCTGCCCGACCATCCCCACCCGAAGGCTTGCTCTCAAGCCATTTATTGTGATAATGCCAGCCAAAAATCACAGTAACGAGAAGAGGATGATCCACAGAAAACGTTACAAATTACGTTACCTTCAGATGGAGCTTTGTCGGTTGCATGTATTGCCCTAGTGTCACGCAATCTACCTTGGCCTCACGAAGATCTGTAGGCCACAAAAACGAAGTATTTAAATTAATTTTAAAAAAACCATTCGTAATTAATGAAACTAACTGCCTGATTTACTTCTACTGTTAAAAACATTCACAGCAAGTAATGCTTGTTTTCTTCCAACATTATAAAAAAAGGCCAATGAAATGTGGACCTAGGAAAACGTTCACCACCCCCTAAAAAGGTAAACTTTTTATTTGGGGTAAAGCGTAAGATAAAAACTACACTTTTTGTGAACAATTGCAATCTAGTTCTAGGGGTTTTTTTAAATAGCAGTTGACTAAAAATGGTTAATTAATTTGAATAAGATAATGTTTACCTTTCATGGCCTGAAGCACTTCATCATCAGTTTCACCCAGTCCCAGCATCAAAGAACTCTTGGTTACCATGTTTGGTTGAATTCTTTTCACATGTTTCAGCACTTCTAATGACTGCTTATAGTTGGCTCTCAGGTCGCGCACAAGTCTGCCATTAAACAGGGATTTTTTACAGTAAAGCACTTACACCTAGACATGCATGTATCCAATTCAAAGTACAGAAAAGTTCCAGTACATACAAAAGCGGCATATTAATTGTTGCTAACCCATTCCTACTAGGCAAAAAACGCTATTTGAAGTTGGTCAGGCCGTTTTCTGGTCACTGGACGGACCAACACAACTAAAAACGTTGTTCATGAGTCGAGCACTTTGCGGTTTCTAAACAACAGCTTCCGAATTTCCGGCATGCACAGAAACCAACATTTCTTACTCTAACCCTACCCTCTCGACCTCTACCTTTTGCTTTCTCGACTCTCTAGCAGTTGGGTCATGTAACAAAAGTTTCATTGGAATTTTTGGGTCAACTTTACTTGGTTTCTTGCGATTTTCTCAGGCCTGTTAGACTGAATCATGCTCATTTAGGTATGGTTTTAGAAATCTCTTCAGTTTCCCCTGCGCAAGTTAGATGTCAAAGTCGTTGGTGACTGTTAATACCTGACCAGCACCTACGTAATGATATGGTTACGCCAAAAATTTGTTTTATCTGTTCGTATCACATATGATGATGGTTTTGTCTGATATGCAGACACAGAGAGTTGGTTTAACCTTTCAAGCCCTAAAGGTGACGTTACACGGGACGATACGACGATTTTTAGCGCAACACAGGGTTCAAATGTTGAAACAATAGAGCGGTTTTCACTTGACTGTCGAAAGGGATTGGTTTTGGTTTTGGTTTGGTTTTACTACGCCCTTTGGTTGGCTAGTGTATTTACTTTGGTTTTGGTTTTACGACAGTCAAGTGAAAACCGCTCTATTGCAGCCGTTCAAATCAATGTAACAACAATGTTGTAACGCTAAAAATCGCCGTTGTTAATCGTCCCGTGTAACATCACCTTAAGAGTGATCAGCATCAAATTTCTCCTTGTAATATCAATGCTTTGTGAGACAGAGTGGTCATGGGAATTATGGACATGATCACACAAGATTAATTTGCTTGATATTTTATCAACTTCTCCCCACTACTTCTGTAGGAAATGAATAGGGGCAACAAATGAGAATTCAAATTTTGATCTTAGGGTTTAAAGAGTTGATTTTAATGAGGGCGTGCACCTCTACTCATCCCAGTAAACGAACATCAACAAATCTTTGCCTCTACCACTAAAGCCGCATTTTTTAACTATCATTTCAACACTTCTGCATGAGTTGAGGAAAAATTCAACAGTCCACCAAAAAAAAATTAAATTGAATATACTCACAGCTGCAGTCTGTCAACTGTCTCAACATTATGAGCATAGACATCAAGCCCTGATTTTACAACAGTTTCTACACCTTTCAGGTCACCTCGGAAGTCTCCTGTCAAGCATTCAACAAGTATGTTTGTACTCCTAAAACAGATCAGTAAGATTGAGAAAACAGTGTGCATCAGTTATACAAAACTCGTTCATTCGAGTTACCTATTAAGTAGCTGATGCATCTGTTTAAATTTACCTCTCTTTTATTTGAGTCACTGTCTCTGCAAAATGTGCAGCTCCACCATCAGGTAAATCTGGAATAAAGGGGAGTAAGACACTCAACTTAACAAGAACTCAGGCTAGCCACAATGCGAGGGATTTGGAGGAAACAAATCAGAACAGATTACCAATACCTATGTAATGAAAGCTTTCACTCTAAAACTAACCAGTTAACGCTTAAGCCCCAAGATCCAAAAACAAATTCTCTGAACTTATCTCCATACATTTCTTTTACGAAAAGTTGAGAGAATTTGGTTAAAGATCAAAGCATTCTCCCTTTGATAATCAATTTTAATTAGTAATTCTCATAACCTTTACTCTTGATGATCTGCTGATGTTGTTAGGAGAAAATTGATGTTGGTCACTCTTGGGACCTAAAAGGTTAACAAGCCTTTTGGTTCATGAACCTTGTCCCCATCTCCTTCTGCCAACTGAAATTTTTGTATCTGTTCTCTCTTTGAACAATCTAAACTCAAGATTTGGCCATCAGTGTCTTTGCATTTGATAAATAACCGGCATGACTTAAATGTATGATGTTAGAGACTAGGTTTGATTAGTGCATATCTGTAATTGCTTTAACAAACAAACTTACTTATCCTTTATTGCTAATAATAAGAGTGGTAAGAAAAGGGGATGCCCACAAAGAAAGAGGGAATGAATAGAGAGGCAAAAGTGCACTTGTAACAAAAAACTTTTGTCTTACTCTAATGCCATCAAAAATTTCTTTGTCTAATTTTGGAAGTTACATGCATTTTAATGCTAATTAACAATTATTGTTATAGTTTCTTTATTACAAGTTACTGAAAAGGCCACTGTTCACTTTTAGTTCATACATGTATATGCGATGGCCAACAGGGTGGCAAAGATTTTTCATTAAATATTTTGCATCCTAAGGCAACAAAAGCAAGAAAGAATGTCTGCAAACATGCCTCTAGTCTCCTGTGCAGCTCAATGACACGTTAGGTCATCAAACAATGCTCCACCCTGACTAGCCCTGCGCATGCATGCAGATTTTAACACAACCTACCATCTCTATCAACAGAGGTGATAACAATATAATCTAATCCCCAGCGCCTGATGGCTTCAGCAGTGTTTGCAGGCTCATTTGGATCAGGAGGGGGAGGCTTCTTGTTGGTTTTAACAGAACAAAACCTACAACCTCTTGTACATTGATCACCGAGTATCTGCCAAGAAAAACCACTAAATCAAGTACCTGTCAAATAGTTATAGCAACTATTGAACCAAGATCTACGTGCACCGTCTTACAAGCAACATGCAGAGCAGAAAGACAATTAAAAAGCTGCTACAATCAAAACTTAATGACAAGTTTGTCACAAAAATGTTTCTTTTCAGCTTTGAAGGGAGAGAAACCGCACATTGTTTTGAGCAGGGTTCGTTCAAGAAATTTGACATGCTGCATGTGCTGAGTTAAGAAAATGATGTCACAAAGCAATTGTCTTGTATTCTTAGTAACCAGGCCACAGGGACATAATGTTTAATGGCAGATAAAAATAAATGGTTTTTGAGCGGAATAAATACCACTTTCCTTAATTGTATGAAGCTATAATTTGCACACCATGTACTTTAAGTACTTAACTGCCAATCTAGCAGAAAAAAGGGTATTCAAGGATTTCATCATAGTACCTTTTTAATGGTACATTAGTAAACATAGTACATGTAGATGTAAGGAAGGTTTCAAAACCCCAAAGTGTAACCCCACCACCTTCTGCTTCAAAATAGGCTTAATTAGTAAAAAAAGCACAAAAGGCAATGGGTCAAGGCAAAGCATCAACAACTCCACTGTCTGACTAATAATTCAATAGAGTTTTAATAATTAAGCAAAGAAATGTGTATTGTATATATTATGGACAGGAATGCATCTAATATCCATACCATTATTGTTGCAGTAGCTGTTTCATGTTTCCCTCCACCCCAGCATTCACCAATATTGGGACATTTGGCTTCTTCACATACCTAAATTTAGAGGAATGAGCAGCAAACACAAGACTTTTTTCTGGAGGAGTGTATCTTAGAAAAACTTATTGGAAGAAGAATCATTTATTCAAAAACGATAAGCAGCTTAACATACTGGCATGCAAATTATATAGATACTAACAAGTCTAAATGTGTACTGATGCAAAGTCTCAATACGTTTGACTAGTTTTCACTAAATTATTTTTGTCTTATTTTGAGTGTATTTTTTTCAGTTTTCAGAGATCTTAATTTGTTTCTTGAAGATATTAGCTATATAGTGTACAGCTACTCTAAAATTCGAGTTCAAAGAAAGGTTATGTATGTATGTATGTAGGGCAGATGCATAATGAGTGTCAGCACAGAATCATCTACACATCCTGCCTAGTGATGGGTGTACATGTACACATATTTCCAGACAAATACGGCATGTATATTTTGGTTCACTTAGTCCTGGCCTGCACTGTTAATCTTGAAACTGAGTACACCAACACTCATGACAGTACTTACAGTGGAAAGGTTTAGCTCTGTAAGAGTTTCTTTAAGTCTATTGTAATTTTTACCAAATGGAATCTCTCGTTTAAGCCATGGTGGCAATCGTAACCTGGTTTAAAAAACAAAATTAAATAATTAATGTTTCCTAATTTCCTCTCATGACAATTATTTATTGAACCGTATAATGCCATAAGGGGGTACAATGTGGGTGACTGTTGACATCCTAAATAAGTTAAAATTAATATGAAAAATAAATAACTATTAAAAAAATACTATTAGTACAGGTAATAGCATGATTTGTAGTGATATTTGGCATAAATACCACAAGTGATATTTCGAAATTGTTATACGTAATTTCATGAGCCGTTAGGCGAGTGAAATTTGAGACAATTTTGAAATATCACGAGTGGTATTTATGCCAAATATCACGTACAAATCATGCTATTATTTGTTTATACTACTACCCCCAAAAGGTTTGTAATTTTCACATGTGGGTATTTCAAATTAAGCTGAAATACCACTGCTCTAAGCCAATCAGATTGCAGAAATTTCTCATGTAGTACTATAAAAACAAAAATAGCATGAATCTTTTGAAAGAAACTTAAATCTCCCAGCAGGCTGTCACCAAGGGCCAGGGGCCAGGGTTATCCTTGTGTTCCACTATAAACATGACCCCCAGCTCCCAAAGGGGGGCAGGGGCACTCAAGATTTCAAGTGACAGGGATAATCAAAGGATTTTTTCGGGTAGGGAAAGTTTGGCAAGTAGTTTCTTGGGTAGCTTGATTTAAGTACGGATTTTGTTGGGTATTCAAAGCAATCTGAAGGTTTGTGATAGTTCCCGTGTATGATCCCCAGGTATTCCGGCTGCGTAGTTCCTCTGAAAATTTTATGGCCCAGAAATTCTTTGGAGTTTGTTTGAAGCTCTACGGATTTTTTGGGTTTTGATTTTTTCCTCCATTCAATCATCCATGTCACTTGAAATCTGGAATACCCCCCCTGGGCCCCAGCTACTTTCATAGGAAACAAAAATGAACTTGGAGAATGGGACATCAAGCCTGGAATTTCCAAAATATGTATCAAAATGAAAAAAGGTAGATTATTTGTCCCATTGTAATCTCTATGTTTTTAGAGCTCTCTATTGTATGATTTACATCATCAGTATGGAATTTCCGTCCCTGAGTTGCAGACGTTCCTCCACGCGAAACATCCCCAGTGGCAAAGAGCGAGAAGAAGCAGATTTTCCGGCAGGCTACCTGTTGCAGAGTCCCAGTCAATTTGATGTTTCGTCTGTAAATGATGTTCAGAAATGTCATTGTTGACGTCACCAATTCTGTCACTTGTTTGTGTTCAGTCAGTCACGGGCTAAGGATTCTGCCAGTTTCACCAATGTAAGCGGCCTGGCAGTCGCAGCATTTGATCTTGATACTGCTCCCTGTCTCTCCTCCCAGTTTGTCTTCGTCCTTAACTTTAGTAAATAGGTGTCATGAAGTGGATATTGGTTTGTGTGTAACGAGTATGTTGTAAGGTTACCTTTGTCCTTTCTTTCTTTTATACGGATTTTCCCTTGGACTGGCTTCTCCTAATATGAATTCTTCTAGACTAGGACCCTCTGAGATAAAATTTTTCTTGTCTGGAGACAGAGAACTCTTCAAACGACAACTACATGACAAGGCATTCCTTTCAAGCTGAAAAAAGGAAAGTAAAAAAAAAGCTTACGAAACAGACAACAACTACTGCAATCATTTCAAGAGCTTCTTTGGCTTGGCAGTGGATGGCTTTGCATAACTCGTTTTGCTCGACAGCGGCCGGATGAAACACATTTGCAGACATTGCAAGCTAGACATTGCAGTAAGAGCTCCGAAATCTATTCATACGAAAAATTAAGATTTTGATTTAGCATTAAGAACTTTAAACAACTTACCGCTTTGCTAACTGAGAAGAAATGCCTTGGTTTCAACTGCAGAACTCGGTTCATAGTCGCCATATTGAATAAAACATTGCATAATAACGCAGTTCCAGTCTTTCTCTTCCTCTCGCATCTCTTGGCTGGGTATCCTGTGCTTATTTTAATTGGGATGGTGTGCCGGGGAATGTTCGAATTTTTTAGCGAAAAAGGTCGTGGCCCTCCCACCTCCTGGAATGGATTAATGCATGACCACTCACAAACAACCGCTCAAAAACATCTGACCCTCCCCCACCTATTCAACACTAGCCTGTCCCAAGCGTTCAGATAGTGGAGAGCGGTGCGAAGTAAAGAAAGCGATGAAAAGTAGAGGGGGACTGGGGAGAGAGGTGCGGGAACGCTTGTAAGAATTCTTAACAAAAGTGCGTTCCGGTATACCAGATCCTGGTATACCCTCTGATTGGTTGATTTTGACAGTTTTTGTCAACAGTGGAGCGTCTTCGATCACAGAGAGAAATGCGATATGGCGGTGATGACAGATTCTACGTCCCGTCACGCAGAATTCGAACTCGCAACAAACACAGCGCTGAGTGACATTCCAAATGTAGTGGCTAAACGCGAAGAGCAAAGAAACTGTTTAAAACACGTAATCGGTAGGATAGATGTCTTCACAATTTCACCGACTGGCTTTGGGAAAAGTCTTATTTTCCAGCTTTTTCCTCGAATAAAGCGTGCGTTGGAATGAAGGCAGGAGTAGAATGATTGCCATTTACGATTGTGTAACTCCGTTGATTGCCATCATGAAAGACCAAGTGGAACATTTGAACAAAATCGGAGTAGCGGCGGCAATGATGGAAGAAGATGTGGATGAAGCCGTTAAAAGTGAAAGCTGTGAAATTGTATACTGAAGTCCCAAATCGTGGTTTTCTAAGGAATGGACAAAAGGACTCCAAAAAGGAAAGCTTGGAAAGCAAGTTGCAGCTATCGCTATTGACGAGGTCCAGTCAATCACCGAATAGTAAATTTTCCCTTCAAAATTATTGTTGTGCATTTTCATTACTTGAGATACCGATCTGTATTGAAACGGCTTTCCATCGAAATGAGCGATATTTGTTTGTCACTTGATTCATAATTTTTTTTGTCACGTACACGCTGAAATCATGTTTTAAAGCCGTAAATAAATTCATTGTACATGAATACTTCTCCTGCTCTCTATTGTCTGAAAGTCTTACATTAGGTTTTTAGTGAGACTATGTATACATAATATTAATTTTTGATCTGAGAAATTTTAATTTATTCGCAAGAAAGATAATAAATGTATGGGGCTGTAACACCAGTCATGATTGACAAGTGAAGACCACCTACAGCTGATGCGGTCTGAGAGGGCGGAAGAGTCTATTTAAAACAAAACTAACAGGCGTTCCCTCTCTCACCTCTCCTCCTCCCTCGCTTTTATTTTTTCGCGCTCCTTTTTTAAATACTTCGCACCGCTCCCCACTATCTGAACGCCTGGAACAGGCTAATTCAACACAAAAAAACCGTAAGTAAAAATAACTAGCCGGAAAAATTACTCAATCCGCGTTCTGGTACACCTTGTCAAAGTTTCCGTTTAATAGAACGCAATACAGTAAAAAATAAGTTCTTGGGACCTCGGAATAATGGGGACCGCAGACGGTGACTGCAGGGCAGTTTTTTTACAGTAAGTCCGGGAATTTATAGGCTGTTCCAGGCGTTCGGATAGTAGAGTGTGGCGCGAAGGAAGAGAGCGAGAAAAAAATAAGGAGGAAAAGAGGGAGAGGGAGAGAGGACGGAGGAGGGCTCTCACCCCTACCTCACCCCCTCGTTGTAGTTGTTTTTTTTTTCTACTCACATCTCTTTCCTCTGTCCCCACGATCTGAACGCTTGGAACAGGCTAGGGAATTTAGGCAGGGGCACCCAACGTCCATTTTCGGAAAATATCTGTTCGGAAGACGATTTGAGATCTAGAATTTTCGGAACAATTGTTGTAAAATTTCTTGCTTGCCTGCCTCTCTTGGGATTTTGGAACACCTAAAAAATGGTATAATTGCCCATGGGTTTCTGGTTACATTTAATACATGGTTTCGGTTGATTTGCCTAGTTCCAATGAAACGAAAAGAAATGACCAAACATCTGGGCAGTGATGGAATAACTTAATTTAATTGAAAATTAATAATCCTTACAACAACGACCTAAGGACAAATTCGCACTCTTATCCACAGACTGTGCTTTAAATTAATATTCTTGGTTGAAGCAAACTGACAAGTCAGCCATGTTGGTGGCCAGTGTAAAAAAAAAATTCTCAGGATTCCTGGAGAGAGCATTACTTTTATTCTTGACCACCAACATAGCCACTTGGACTGTTGGAAGTCACATGCAAACCAGTGATGAAATTTTTAGCATAAAATGGACTTGGTGATGGATTGTATTCACAAGCTATTCTACCCCACTATATCACAATGAACCAGGTATAGACACTTTCAGAGATAAAATAAACTTTAAACCCCACAAATTATAGATTGACAAGGTTTGACTTTTTCAAACTCTTGCAAAAAAAAAACCAACCCTTGATTTCTCATTAACTGCAGATTGTCTCTAGTTCAATCCACATAACCATTTGGAATTTTCACATCTGAGCATTAAAAATATCTATAATAATAATAACAATGATAATGATAATAATAGTAATAGTTTTATGGGCATATGTTATTATATACAAGAAATGAATGTGCAATAATCATGTAAAGTAGAAGTTCAAAAATAAGTACAATCAAATCCACTAAAGCTTGCTATCCATGCCTGGTTAGTAATGCATTTCAAATTTTCTTACAACCTAATTTGCAAAACAACAATGGCTTCATTAACAGGCTGATCATGGCACACACTCAAATCCTGGTACGAGGGTGAGGGCCTAGACCAAGGATTTCAGTGCTGTTTTGGAGATGATGCCGACCGGGATTTGATTACACTGTGAGGCAGGTTAATCCACTACTGTTTAGAAACTACAAGGACAATAAGTGACGAGTGTCTGGATTATCAAGCATGAAATCCCGGAAGAAAAAGAAACTGGAAGTTTGAACCACATATGGTTCATGTAAAAAACATTCTCAGGCAAAACCAGTTATCAACCTAATTTGATTTATAATTTCCTTTGTTTTCAAGCCTTAATAAAAACAAAAATTGAAATTATTCTGGAGGTTTAACCTGAGAACAAATTTTACCTACAACGTATACAGTAAGGGATGGTTTTGCATTATTGATTGCATTCGTTATATACTTTATCTCATGGCCTTGCATGCTCTCTGTTTTAAATCAGATGCCCTATCATTGATCAAAATTCTTCTTTTGTTTTTTTTTCTCTGTCTAAGCATTCAAGAAAGCTCAAAGATGCTTTTAGCTTCCTCTAGGAGCTAAAGATCATAATACACATTAATGCCAGATTTAAATGGAGAAAAGACAGTTGTCTTGGGTAGCTTCACACCCCTAAGCTACCCTGGGCAAGTCAACTTTTCACACATTTTACCTTAAAATGCATGGTGAACCATTTACATGAGAAACAAAGAGTTGGCTTGGCTAGAAGGGTGACCCACCCCCAATGGTAGGGTCACCCGCCTGGCCAGGCCAACTACTCTTCAAGTAAACACTTTGGCACACCCAGCTAGGTCAAGAGCATGGGCAAGTGCTCTCTTAGACAATCAGAGCATACTCAAGTGCTGTTTTAGACAATCAAAGCATTTAGGAGCACTGTTGGCTCAGTCAAAGGGATCAACTTGTTCCTCATGTAAACACTTGATAAAGTTAACTCGGCTGGAAGGGTGACCCTCTTTCCTGGGACAACTTTTCTCCAAATAAACAGGGCCTAAGATATTTTACACACTCAGATTTCTTCCTTCACACCAAGATTACAAGTATCAAGAGCATTTCTCAAATCTTCTACATCACAAAGACTTCCCACAACTCCAGAACCTGCACGGAACACATGCATGGGTGCTCCTTCCTCCCAAGTGTCAGTCAGGGGGTTGTAAGACTCCACTGAGTTTAAATATTGATCCCCATTATGACCTCCGACTGCCCACAGATGCCCTCCCATGGCACCTGCACCAACCCCTCCCCTACAGGTTGTCATTTTTGCCACATAGGTCCACTGGTTGGTACGAGGATCATATCGTTCAACTGAATCCAAAGGAGATGAGTCATCAAATCCACCAATGGCATACAGGTACTGTCCAATAACAGCAACACCAACACCTGTCCAGAAAAATAAGCAAAAAGTAAACAAAACTGGAAAAGAATTGACAGAAGAAAGAACCGTTCACCTAAATAAACTGAAATATGACCACTACAAGGCCGTTTAATAAACAGACAATTACTTCCTATGGTCTATACACTGATGTAAAAATGGGCCAAACTCATTTCAATGATCTATAAATAAAAGTGAAGACTACAGAAAATTTTTGTCTATTTGTTTTTAAAATAACATTTACAGCTTTAAACATTTCCACGGTCTATCCTCTCTTAGAAAATAGTTCTTGACCAATCAGCATCGGAGAAATCACTCAGTTATTTTAAAAAAATTCTGGTAGCAATGATGAGGTGGCCTCTGATAGTGGTTTACAGAAAAAGTGAATGACTGAGTGGTTGGGTTAAAATAATTTAAAGATAACTAAGCAACTTCTTGCATACTGAGGTATGGTCCATGGTTGGTACGTATGGCTTTAGCAAATCTTTTATATATGCAGGTGCTAACCTGTTGAGTGTTTTATGGGTTATTAGTAATAATTTAAAAATAATACATTGGCTGACTGGAAGCCAGTGGAGATAAATTTAAAATAGGCATAATGTGGTCATACTTTCTGCTTCACGTAATAAGTTGAACAGAACTGCAGAGTTCTGTACATTCTGTAAATGATTGATTAAAAATTTGAGCAGACCATACAGCAATGAGTTACAGCTATCCAATAGCCAGGGGCTAGTGGAAGAACCTGTCCACTTAGGGTTTTTTGGTTATGAGTCGTCTGGCTGGCAAGCAACAATATGTGGAGATAGAGTTAATGTTGGTGAAAAGGGAGTTGGAAGGTCTGG